TATATATATATATATAGTTTATATGGTGTAACAGATGTACAAAAGAAAAGAGTGATTAATGACCTATTTTTAATACAATAACAATACTTATAAATAAAATTATTAATAGTAAATATATTTTGAATCTGACTATCAAATTCAAATTATCACACTCGAATTGCCTTAAGGCCCTTTACAAAAATACATGTGCCTTCCTATTAGTTAATTTACAAAAACTTCATAAGTAACTCAAGCACTAACCCACAGTTAACTTAAAGTTTGCAGCTTATAAAAAATTAAAATAAATTTTTTTTACAGTGTCGTAGTCTGTACACTTAACATTTAGAGTATATTTTTATATACAAGAGAACTACTAACTATTGATATAAACAAAAAATTAACACATCAGTCTTAAACATTAAAGGATTATTTTAAGCAAAGCCGAAACCTTCGGAGCACTCGTGAATTGCCTTCAATAAGTAGGCTCGTAACTTGTCGTAAGTTTCATATACAGGAAGGTCCAGTTGGTTGAAACTGTAGGGAAAAAAATATGTCGAGTCAGTAAGTTTTGCATATTAATTAACTAGATTTTCCTTTCTATTATTCCTATTCTCCATTAAAGTCATACAATAACTAATATACTTAACTAAGTACTTATTACAAATATCTGATGGTTTTGTGATAAAAACTTACCACGTATGTGCAGAAGGCAGACGATCAGTTGAACGATCATCTCTGTGAATTTGGAACTTTTGAACTCCATTCATACCTTCAAGTGCACCAAAACCTTGTAGAGGTACTTTAGAAGTTCCCGTCACAAACTGCAAAAATTTGGCACGATCGGCCTGATCAAATGAACGTAAAGCACGCCAGAACCATTGAATCTGAAATGAACACACAATTTTTATAGTCTCAAGATTTGTTAATTTGGTTAATAATGGTTATTTCATGTTTAAACTTTAGACACAGATAATAATTATTGTTATAGCAACCACCAGATTACTTTAATTGAAATATGAAATTATATTTTTTAAAATGCTTGTAATTTCTAAACAAAAACGAATCGGACCTATGTTTAGATAAGAAAAAATGTTTGAAATTAATCCATCTGTCAAAGTTTGTCATAGAACCTGTAGAACACCCTGTACATACAGGCTGTTACAAATTCGCTTCTCACTACAGGGATCTCGGAAAAGGTAAGAGATACGAAGTAGCTTAAATGGGGGCTAAGTTGCCTAATCAGGGGACCAACATAATGCCTCTAAAAAATCAAGGCTAACGCAAATTTTGGTAATCCACTTTTGCTTCATTTCATCGTTGTTTAGGGTGATATTGAAAAAAGAACAACACTTCCTCATGGCAACTTTTTGCCCTTTATCGAATGGCATAATCAATTTTTATATGTAACGTTTCGTTTCTCCAGGACCATCATCAACTTCATTTTTTTAAATACGACCCTGTAAATTTTATTACATTTTTTGCAAGCCTTCATGGCCCCCAATACTGTACTGCCTCAGGCCGAACCAGATTCAGATATTTTATCTCGAAAATTCATCTTCAATGTATTCGGTCCAAATTTATCTATTTTTTTTTTTTGATTTCTATGTTTATTGAATTATCGTACACTGTAAGCATCGTTAGACCCTACGAAATCCACCTAGTTATGTAAACTAATACCACTACGTTACAATAAAATGTTATTAGAGTTTTAATCCCGTGCTCATAGTTATTTCTGGTTTCTCGAGTGCTCAAAATTCAAACAAATTTTGACCTAATTTTTTTCAGGATATTCATACAAATACATCTGGCGGTTACATATAATAAATTCCGATCATACATATTATGTATCTTCATTTTTGACATTTGCCAAAACCGAAACATTTTTTAACATTTACCTACTGTAATTTTTTAAAGTATAATACTTCTTTGGAGTTTTGGTTGTCCACATGCATTTTTAAGAATTAATTTGTCATAATAAAATTAAAATTGTAATGTTTTATGTGATTGTAATAGTTTTAATAACTAGGTGGATTTCACAGGGTCTGATGACACTGAAAGTGTACGATAATTCAAGAAACATACAAATTAAAAAAAAATATATATATATATAAATTTGGACCGAATACATTGAAGATGAATTTTTGGAGACAAAACGTCTGAATCTGGCTCGGGCTGAGGCACTACAGTATTTGGGGTCATGCAGGCTTGCAAAAAAATAATAAAATTTCCAGGGTCATATTTAAAAAAAATTAAGTTCATGATGGTCCTGGAGAGACGAAACGTTACATATAAAAATTGATTATGCCATTCGATAGAGGAGAAAAAGTGGCCATGAGAGTGTTCTTCTTTTTTTCAATATCACCTCAAATAAGGCTGAAATGAAACAAAAACGGATTTCCAAAATTAATCATGTTAGCCTTGATTTTTTAGAGGCATAATGTTGGTCCCATGATTACGCAACTTTGCCCCCATTTAAGCTACTTCGTATCTCTCATCGTTTCCGAGATCCCTGTAATAAGGAGCGAATTTGTAACAGCCTGTATATATGTATATATTTATATTTACAGGGAGTGCCATTTAACACTCCCACTGTCAATATCTCACTACGATAAAATTTCCTGTAATGAAACGTGCAGCAGATTGTTGAAATGCGTTTTTCTTGAAAACGGACAATTTCTAGAGCTAATGATAAGTATACCATTTTTTGTGGCGCCCTCTAGAAGATACATCGAAATAGATAACAAATTATGATTTCTCGTATACAAGAACATCTACCCCTAAATTTTCACGTTCATACACTCAAAAATATTATAATTATTACGAAAATTCAATTTTTAATTTCCAACTTTGACACCCTGTATCTTTTTTGTTATCAACATTTTATTAAGGCATGTTGGCTCC